GAATTTACTTCAAATACACCATGATAGGTCCGGCTGCTGGCATGCATTCATTAAAATTCTCCCAGTTGGTGATCAAAATGAAATCTTGACCTGGAATAGAAGTCAGACGATCACTAAAGCTGACAGAGAGAGAGACGTGAGTGTGTGGACTTCATCGCACGCCAATCCATCCAACTACTGGTGACATCTTTGTCTTAAAAACTGTGAAATTCAATCTCATGGTGGCAGAAGAGGAAAAAGTCTTGATATCACCAACGTTTGCAGGATTCAACTGACTGACTCCATGAATGTACGCAGAAAATGTCATTGTGTTATAGTTGTTGAGATATTTGAGTCGGGATGCCTGTCACCGTGGCTCAAACCACACACATGAACTCTAAATGTTTGAATGTGTGTGCAGACTATAGAGCTTCTTATGATGACTGAACAAAATACAGCAGCTGTGTTCTTATTTCAGCCACTAAGAGGAGAAGGGAATGTGTGAGTGTGTATATGTGTGTGTGTGTGTGTATGTGTGTGTGTGTTTTTTAAAGGGAGTGTGTGATTCAACAGGCCGGCTGGCAGTCGGTCCCTCGCAGGGCGTCAGTGATGAGTCATTGGGTAATGATTGGTAGTCATGACAACAGTAGAGAGCTGAAAATGTTAACTAACTGAGAAAAAAGAACTGTTTTTTTTTTTCAGTACAGAGAGATGTAAAGTTTTTACAGACATACCTAAATGTTTTTGAGGAAGTGTTTAGCTTTGATCAGAGAACTTGAGGGTATGGACCAAGGTGTGGTCATTGGTCTGGTTTCTGGAGAGGTGCCAGGTCACTTCCTGACTGCCAAGGTGCCCTTGAGCAAGGCACCGAACCCCCCAACAGCTCACCAAGAGCCGCTCCTCACTCTGACATCTCTCCATTAAGATGTCTTGTGTGTATTTAGGGCCTATATGTGTGTGAGTGACACGTCTCCCAATAACAGAGTGTAAACTTGAACTTCTTGCGCCTTTTGTGGTTACATAAAAATATTAACATTTTACAATTTTCTCCCTTTCAGGCTCAACGGCCCTGAGCTCAGCCGCTGATGATGGACGATGAAGTCTTGAAGAAGGAGTTCCACTTCATCCCAAAGATGTCGGACCAGGTTGATTGTGAGACGGAGAGTCAAGTTCTTCCACACCAAAGTGTCTCCTCGTCAACATGTCTTTGTCCAGGGGAGCACTGAGATGAAGAAACATCTGTTCCCTCAAAGTTAGGAGCTCGCCATTTGTCTGACTGACACACAAGGGAAGGCTCACAGTTTCACCTGTGAGGGCTTAAAATAAACATGCTTAAATAAACGGGTCAACACATCAGAAAACAGCATCCAGATAAAAAGGCTAACAGAAATCAAACTTTTCACTGATGAGGTCAGAATCAGGAGAGAACCAGAGAGGAGGGTCACTGGAAGACCTTCAATAAGGGGGGACATGGAGATTTGGGAACCATTTTTAGATAACATGATATTCTTACTAAAAGTTGATACTGTTAACTCTGTAACATCAATAAATTTGTAAGAGAAATCACTCGTTGGTAAAAGTATTAATGCCTGTGGCCGAGTGGTTCATGTCTGTACCGCATGTACAGAGGCTGTAGTCCTCGAAGCGGATGCATCCCCGGTTCAAATCCAACCTGGGGCTACTGCATATCGCCCCCCCTCTCTCCCTGATTTCCAGCTCTATCCACTATATCTCTACAAAAAAAAAAATCTAGAAAAAAAAGGTATTAATGAAACACATAATCGGGGTTTGCAGGTCGGCATTATTTATTTATTTATTAAAAAAGTTATTTAGGTTATTCAGGTTGAGAAGCTCTCATCAAAGAACAGTGGACACACATCTGTATCAACATGCTGAAGGCCAACATTTTCACTTGTTTTTTTAACTTGGATTTATTTAGTTTGTATTTTTTACTGTTTTAAATCTGAGGATTTTATGCTTTGTCTTTTTTGATTTTCTGTCTTTGTGAAGCACTTTGAAACAGTCTCTGAATGGTTACCGTCATCAGCAGATAATAAACATACAGAGAGTATTTGATGTTGTACAGTTAAAATATATCGAAGGTGATATGTGAGGTGTGATCCGCTGCATTAAGTACAGAGTGATACTTGAGAGTCGTCTTTGTCTGCCAGTTTGGAGACAAATGACACTATGCCTGCATGTGTGGGAGCAGAATAAAAAAGCTGACTGATTCTTATTGATGCCAACATTCAGAAGGAAAAAAAAAAATCCCACTGTTCTCGCATTCATGTGGATGGAGGCAAAGTTTCACTTGATCTGAATGTAAACGTGAAATTACTGTATGCCAAGACAATCTGCACCCAGGTGGGAAACACTTCATGCTAATAAAGCACATTTGCAACACAGAGCAGGTTCCTCGTCTCCTGTTGTCTGCAGCTCCACACTTGCAAACATGCGATTCACACTTGCAAACAAAGTAGTCACATTTGGTGTCCTGTGTAGAGTCTGCATTCTTTTGTTTCTCATCCTGGGGTGGGGGGGTGTTTATCACATGCATATCATTGCCTCCAGGGTTGATAGATACTTGGCTTCTTCTTCAGCGGCTGCAGTCACCCTCCTCTGGCTGTGATTGCATCTTCAAACTAATCTATAGGAGGGGGCAGGGGGTCTCTCTCTGTCTCTGAATCCCTCTTTCAAGATTTATTTTATAGTTAGAATCTGTAAAACCTCTGTAAATCCTGTATTAACAAATAAATTCCTTTTTTTTGTAGCAAATTGCTCGACTCAGCAATGCAGTTCATTTCCGTCCTCCTAAGTTGTGAAAGGGACTGAAGAGTGTAATAATGAAACTGAAAACTCAGAGTGAATAAAGACTGATTAGGAGATAAGTGTTATCAACATTGTATTGAGCCGAAGAAGCAAAACTTTAGAAGCTTTTTGGAAACTGATTATACATAAATCCACGTACTTGAAGGTGAATCCCAAGTTACGTGTATTTTTGTAACGAGTTTCCATCTTACATAAAATCCCTTAAAGTTGTAACAATGAAAAGGCAAGGAAACTTTACAGTTTTATAGAAAATCACAAGTGATTTATTCAATTACTTATATTATTTCATTTGTTGGTCCTTTTATGTTTTACAGTTTTTAATATGGCTTTTTTAAAACATTTATTTTGCAAGATGTAGAATGTTGTTTGTATGCATTCTTAATAAATAAAGAAAGGTATAGCTTCCCAAAGTATCTGTTAAAGTGAATTATGAAACACAGGAGGTTTATTATTGTTTGCAGAAGTAATAGTGACATTAAATACAGCTAGTTACTGAATATTTCCTATGCTAAAGAAGATGCTAACACTGGCTAGCTGTTGTAAAACCATTCCCATAAAGACATGCGCCTTTAAAACGGGTGATTTAATAAGCCAACCACACTGTGAAGCAAACGATATTTACGAGTGGCGGTGAATGACAGCAACGTTTGCGCTGAGTTACTAAAACCTTTGTGTTAACAACAACAATTAGCACAAAACGACAACGGAGGGACATCATGGAAAAGGGGAGCGAAATTTCCCGTTACACCACTGTCGTCATGACAACATCCGGGTCACTCGTGAGAAAATCTGATGCAAGCCTCTACATCATTCTGGCAACTAGAGTTACACCCAGTTAGCAAATGTTGACCCGTATTTAAAGTTTAATATCGATTATTTCCCTCTAAAATTATATTATTATTTGTAACTGATGAATTAACAACTTAAAACGCTTATATTCTAGCCAATTTGACACATATTCACAGCTTCACATTAGTTTTTAACAACATTGTAAGCCTACATATGACCATTTATTTTTACTCGAAATGGGATGAACTTTCAGGCAAAGTTTTAAAAAGTCACATTAATTTGTTTTAATATTAGCTAGAACATTCATCAAACTGAGTTGTGAACTAAAAACGTGATTATTAAAGATTCTGGGTTCATACTAAACGAAAACATATTGGGCTTCTCATGCAAGGCAACATCTGATACTTTGATAAAGAGCAAATTAAAAATGTTTAAAGGTTATTTTCTCTTATAGGCCAGAGGTAACTTATACTTAGTTTTTTACACCATCTAGTGGCTGTAAAGACACATTTAGTATCCGGAGCAGCCTAAAAACTGTTAGTTATAAATTAATTAATTAAATTCTGTGTTACACCTTTAGTCTGACTTCAGTCCAACCCATTACCACACATTTTCCCTTTTTTTTAATATATATATTTTTTTTTAATTTTGGGCCAATAGACCTTGTTAACATAAAAGTGTACCCTTTTTTTGAGTGGAAAAAAAATTATTTTGAATTTATATCATTTTGACTCATTTGAATTTTTTGAATGGCAGCAAATAATAACACCTGCTGCCCTCCGGGGTCAAACTGACCCCGTCCGGTTTGACTGTAATTTAAAGAATAGTGGATTTTTAAACCCAATTCTGTGTTACACCTTTAGTTACAACTTTCATTCAAACACATTAGCACCATTTTTTTTATTCCATTTGAGATTTAAAGCCAATAAGACCTCATTTACATGCCTGCATGCGAGGCAGGTAGTAATGGCATGATCTGTATATGCACTGCATTTTTGGCACATTTTCAATGTTTTGAGATCACTCTGGCGAAGGCAGAATTTGCACCAGTTTTTTGGGTGATGGGCCAGGAGGGGCTGCTGGGCAAGGGGCAGCTGCTGCAGAGGCCAAAAAGATACCTACTATTTTAACTAGTGGACATTGAGACACTTATTCTTTACTTGTAAACTGTACGAGGCTTTACTAGTAAACGTAAAACTGCTCCCCCTAGTGTGACTAATTGACATTTTAGCTACAACTAGTTAACTAGTAAACATTTCCTAGCCTATGCTAAGCCCTTTTAATATTAAATCATTAAGAAATTGCAGAACAACAAACTCCAGGAATACAACTCATGGATTTAAAAAAACACAAAGAGTTGGATAAAATAAATCTAAAAAAAAAGTAACAAATGACTCGAACACTTTTGGTCTTCAAAGTTTAACAAACTTGATTCATTTCACTGTACAATACAAAGTATTACACAAATATATTTTTACACGTTTGTAGCACATCACACATCCTCAAAGCACAGAGAGGTAAATACATTATTGCATCCGTTTAAAAAACTTCATGAGTTTACGATCACAGTGCACTTTGACATGAGCTGACGAGAATGTGTGCGATGTTTGTTTTAAAGTGTCGCTGTAAAAAAAAACAACAATCATAACAGATAAGGAACTTTAAAAACCGGCAGTGAAACTATTACAACACGGCACATCCACATCGTTCATAGAAACACAAAAATAAGTCAGTATTCAAATCCTGGCAGTTGAAAGTGCTTTGGTCTTCTGAGTGAAAAGATTGGATAAAACACTAAATGAGATGATTTATTGTGATATACTGGCACGTTATCAAGCGTAAGGCTTTTTGGTTTCTGTGTGTTTAAAGTGCTTCTTTTGGTCCCACAAGACGGTCGAGAAGTCGTTAGAAAACAAGATAAAGCTGGAAAGTTTGTTCATAAAAAACAAACAAACAAAAAAACATCAGTCCCATCTCGTTACGGTTACAAAACAAAACGTTGTTGTTTGTTGTTTTGGTCTCACCTGAGATTCAGCATAAGTCTTCTGCTGTCAAGAATGAATGTGAAGTGTAATTGTTTTCACTACAACCTGAACAAGAGGTGTGACGGACTAAGGAGCCAGATATTTTTTGAGTTAGCTACAGAGCTTTGGATGAACTATTCAGTCAGCGTGTTATAATTTCTTCACGAAGGAGTATTAGGGCCACATTAAAGGGGGAAAAAATCTGACATTTATGAGAATAAAGTTGTAAGAGAAGAAAGTCGTACATTTACGACAGGCTGCTCTTCTGATACAACCTTTCAGGATAAAATTTTTAACCATAGCCTAATTTAAATGGAATTACTAAATTAATATAATAAATGTAAAACTTTAATCTTGAAATTTAATCTTTAGGGGAATTTCTTTAAAAAAGGTGGCCCTTATACTCCGCCGCATTATTCAGTTAATATGTGCAAATCTAGTTTTGATGACCTCAGAGCAGACAGAGCCTCGTGCCCCCCCATGAGATCTTTGGCACGCGGGGTCCAATGGCTCAGACTTTGTCCCAGTCGTACTAACAAACAGTAAAGACAACAAGAGTAAAAACAAGGACTATTTCAGATTGATAGAGGTTGTGAATATCCAGCAGACGTTGATGCATGTTAGCAAATATTCAATCCGTCTTTGATGTAGCAATAACGCACGTCAATGTGCTGTTCTCTCTGAAAGTTTCCTGCTTTCAAAAGGTAAAACTGCTCATATCTGGAATTCATTTAAAACCAGTTCAAATATTTTCTACAAAAGCAGACATAGTTTAAACTCCACAACAGTAGAGGCGTTTTGATTTAAAAAAAAAGAAACAGCAAACGCTATAAAAAAATGTCTGTTTTCAGTTATTCAGTAATGCTTGAACAAGCCTGGTCCAATGACAGAATAAAAAAAAGTACACATGCCATGTGTGCAGGCTGCAGATGCTGCACGTATCCCTATAATTTGTACATCTATTCAAGGTCCGCCAACCTTTTGAAAGTCTTTCAGCTGTGCATCATCAGCTTCTTGAGTTTATGTGTTCGTTGAATGTACTCGTCTGCATATTTCTGTTTTATGTGACGATGGATGTGCTCCTGTTTTTCTCCACCTCGGTTGCCTCCTCTTCTGTGACGGCCCACGGCTGGATCTTTCCGGTACCGAACAACGTGTAGACTAAGGCCCCCCCGACGTTGAGCCCGGCTGCCAGCCAGAAGACCATCCTCCAGCCTGCCAGGGTGTGCTAGAGGAAGCAGAAGAACAAAAAGTAGATGATGACTTTATTGGTCAGTTATCGAATCATATTTTGTTTCCATAACTAGTGGGAGTCTGTGTTTGGAGAGAGTGAAAGTCATCTTAAAGGTCACATATGATGCAAAAAAAAAACAATTTTTCTCTAACACTAATATGTGTCCCCAGTCTGTCTATAAACCCCCTCAATGATGAGAAAAGTCCATGCTCTGCGTCTTTTTCCTGCTCCACTTTTCATAAAATGTGTGCGCGAACAGGCCGTTTGGAGATTTTCCCTGCATGACATCACAAAGGGCAGTAACCCCTCCCACAGCTAGGTGTTTGTTCTGCCCTCTGAGTCTGCCTTCTCACCGTAAACAATAGGGCATGGAGCGAGAAAGCCTGAGTCACCCAAGCCCTTCCAGAGAGGGGGCGTGGTCAGACACAGCTCATTTACATATTTAAAGGTACAGACACAGAAACAGCCTGTTCTGAGCAGGGCTGAAATAGAGGGGTTTATAGACATGATCAAATACAGGATCAGAGTGGATTTAGAACAAGAAACTTCAGACATTTTTTTTGAGACTGAGACTTATTTAAACTTTCTGAAAAAGAGGCGCATATGTGACTTTAAGAAAAATATGTTAGGACTAAAACTAATTTAATGAATATAAGGATGTTTAGGACTGTTTGCTGTTTTGTTACTCTCCTTTATATGTGCCTGAACCAGTATTTACATCTTTAGAGACTTACCTCCTCAGTAAAGTATCCTGTAACAATGGGTGCCAAGACTCCAGGGATGGTCCCGAATGTGTTTGTGATTCCCAGAAGAAATCCTGCATACCTGCAGGAGGGAAAAGGTAAACACACATTCTTCAGGATATATTGTTGTATATTTTGTTGTACAAACAACAATAAAAGAGCAAGAACGTGAAAGTCATCAGCCGTTAATGTCCTGCTATCCATTCAATAATGAAAGTTATTGCATTTAATTAACACATTACAATGGCTGTACCTATAAAAATGTTATAAATAAAAAGGACTGAGAAGAGGACCTCACCACACATATCATGAAAGCAACTTGTAAGAAGATGCTCCACTGAAGACACAAACACTGATTGATTGTTGAGCGAGTAAATCTTAATAACTGAAACTGTTTGCATGTTGACACCCACCGAGGAGCGATGTCTATCTGGTTGATGTAGACTCCACAGGCCATGGTTCCGCCGATGGTCGTGGAGAGGGTGAGGAAGGTGATGGTGAGGATGTGGCTGCAGCCGGAGTAACCCACAGCCACGAGGAAGGCTGCGCCTGGCAACACACCTGCAGAGAGGAGCTGGATGTTCAAATACCCCGACACTCTGAGCAAACATCACTCCTTATCTTTGTCTTTTAATTTAGGCTGTCAGCATGAATGCATTCATTTTTTAAGGGTCAGTTAATATCTTAACCTTTAATCTACCAGAAGGGCCTTCATTTATTTCAAAATAAAAGCAGGATAGAATTCAAACAGCAAGTAAAGTACTCTCAGCTTAAGACAGTACAACAATTAAAAATAAAAGCCTCACTATTTTTATTTTTAATGTGAAATAATTTAATTTCTGACGTGATTAAATGGGATTATCTTTTGAAATTAAGCGATTAATCACAATTAAATGTTTTAATCGCTAGACAGCCATATTATTAATATGAAGTTGTAACAGTGAGTGAAACATAAAATACTTGGGATGTCACGTGTTTGTATTTCCTGAACGATCTCCAACAATCTGAATCCAGATGAGACGACATCGCTGCATTACAACGTGCGCCGTGTGAGACTTTGTGCCGTGTGCAAACTCAAACCCACCACACCGTATCGGATGGACAATTTTATAAATGTTTTGAAGCCCAAGGCTGGCTCATGTCATACTGACATCGTACTGTGACTCCTCTGTAGCCACTTCTTCAGGCACCATTACACCACAACACACGACCAACACAAAGAGGATCTGAGAGGAAACTCTTCCTGACCTGCGAGTGTGAAAATCTTTCGTACGGTGGTGACGCTGAACACTTTCCTCTCGATGAGGCTGTCCGCTAAGATACCCGACAGCGTGGAAGCAATCCAGGCCCCGAGGTACGGCAGAGCGGACAGGAAACCATTCTGGATGAGACAGAGAGAGAGAGAGAGAGAGAGAGAGAGAGAGAGAGAGAGAGAGAGAGAGAGGAGGGGGAGTAGAGTCAGATAACAATGTAATGATGATTACAGGTTAATAATCCCCGTCCAGTTGTAAAATGCTGAAGTAAGCAGAGTACAGTCAGCGCCCTCTCAAAAAGACGCCGTGAACACAGTCGGCACACTGAGTGATGAGAACGCAGACACTTCAATCAAAAGATTTTGACGGGAAAAAGTGGAAGAAGAAAGTCTTTTGCTCACAGATTTGAGGTCAAAGTGCAGGATGTTGTTCATGTAGGTGGGCAGTGAGGTGAGCAGCGTGTAGTAGGACCAGTTTGAGCACATCTGGCAGATGATGATGGCCCACATGGGGACCGACAGCAGTATGGGCAGCAGGGGCACGGACCAGCCATGACCTGTACCCTGTGGTTACACAACGAATGAATGTCATAAGACAGTCATATGAAACAGACTGAAATGAACACTGGAAACTCCAAACAACTTACAAAAGCAAACGGGACCATCTGAGAAAAATATTATATCTATGTAGTTATTTTAAATGCCCAACGCAGAAAGGCTTACAGACCGATGCAGAGCTGGCTAAACACCGAAGCTTCAGTGTCCACCACATGGCAACCTGCGTGAGCATCAACTCTAGAGAGGAGGGGGAGACAGCTCTCTTCAAAATCTTAAACTTGGACTGCAGTACCCATTTTAAACACTAGGTGTCAGTGTTTCTTTTTTAAATTTTATTTTTTGTATCTGTAATAACTAAAACTTCTTTTTTTTTGTAGCTATAATAGAGGAAACTGTAAACTTGAGCAAAACTGAGATATAAAAGATTGATATTTTGTTGTTTTTTGAGTGGTTGATGTTCACCTGAGGTCCAATGGAGCTTATGATGTAATCCTTCTCTTCTTCGCTGATTCGACGATGTGTGCGAGGGTCATCTGACACAAAAACAAACCAAAAAAATGCCCAGAGACACCCAGCACTACCTGAAAGATAGAGAGAGAGAGCGAGAGAGAGAGAGCGCGAGAGAGAGAGAGAGAGAGACAGAGAGAGAGAGACAGAGAGAGAGAGCGAGAGAGAGAGAGAGAGAGAGAGCGCGAGAGAGAGAGAGAGAGACAGACAGAGAGACAGAGAGAGAGAGAGAGACAGAGAGAGAGAGAGACAGAGAGAGAGAGCGAGAGAGAGAGAGATAGAGACAGAGAGATAGAGAGAGAGAGAGAGAGAGAGAGAGAGAGCGAGAGAGAGAGAGAGAGACAGAGAGATAGAGAGAGAGAGAGAGACAGAGAGAGAGAGCGAGAGAGAGAGACAGAGAGACAGAGAGAGAGAGAGAGAGACAGAGAGAGAGAGACAGAGAGATAGAGAGAGAGAGAGAGAGAGACAGAGAGAGAGAGAGTGCGAGAGAGAGAGAGAGAGAGAGAGAGAGAGAGAGAGAGAGAGAGAGAGAGAGAGAGAGAGAGAGAGAGAGAGAGAGAGAGAGAGAGAGAGAGAGGAAAGATGTTATTTGACATGGTTATGAATAATTAAAGGAACAGTGTTAGTTGAAAGTCTTAACTGGAAATTCACAATAGCATTTACAACCCTGGCATCATTCCTGTGGGAGACCGACCTCTGTTATGATGTGTGTATTAACGTGTGATGGTGTTTCTGTGTGTGTGTGTGTGTGTGTGTGTGTGTGTGTGCGTGCATGTCCCTCACCACAGAGGTAGAAGACAGCCGGCCAGCCTAAAGTTTCACAGATGTAGCCGGTGAGAGGCAGAGACAAAAAGGCCCCGAAGTTTGCCCCAGAGCCGGACAGGGTCATCAGGCGTGAACGCTCGAGAGGGGGAGCCCATCGGGCCCACATCGCCATCATGGTGGGGAACGTCACACCCTGAAGGGAAAGTGCACGGGTCAGACAGGTAGAGAGTCAGGCAGACTGGGAGGCAAAATGCTTGTTTTTAAGCTTTGCATCTTTGAGTGATTTATCACTGAACAACTTCAAACTGCACAGCGTACCTCTCCAAAGCCCTCCAGAGCTCTCAGTGCAAACAGCCAGTAGATCCCCATCTGGGCGGCCAGAGGAGTGAGCAGCGTGAGGACAGCCGTGCCCAGCACCCCCAAACCAAAGAAGAGTCTCCCCCCGTAGTGACCAGACAGGTACCCCCCCGGGATCTGTGTGCACAGGTATCCGAAGAAGAAAGCTCCCAGCAGCCAACCCTGAGTCTCTGAGTCCCACGGGTACTGAGGGATCTGCAGCAGATCAGGTAAAAAAAATAATTACAGATACGGCATCTGACAAAGCAACTTGTTCACCAAGCTCCTCTGACAGTTGCTTATCTGAATAACAAATGTAATAAGGGAATATTAATGATTTGTTTACATTGTCAACCAATTGTTGTTTTGATCTTTACACAGTGGAATAAATGCTTTGAGCTCCTTTTACCCCGTCAGGTTGTGAGAAAGTATCACTGGTGTTGTCCATCCCCGCTGGCAGAGGACAAGCGTGGACTATGGAGCTGTTGGGGGCCGGTTTGGGATCGGTGACGTTCACCATGGCTACCATGGCAACACTGAGGTTGACCCGCAGACCGTAGACTACAGCGAACCCCAAAAACATGAGGAAGGCCAGGTTGAGCCGAGCCGAGCAGCACTGTGAAGGAACTGATCACAGAGGGATCACATTAATCATTTATATTGAATCGACTCTATTCTGTGAGCAGTTCAAGGGTCATCTCCGGGTTAGGTCTATCCCAGTTTGTCTTTCTTTCACTTTGTGTCAGCAGCATTTTGATGTCACAGCAGCATCAGTTTAACTGCATCCATTTGTTGGTCAGTTTTCCTCTTTGAGAGTTTACATGATCTTTAACCAGAGAAGAGCTGATGTGTTGACAACCTCCAGTTAAAACAAAAGTGCTGAGCAACCAGAGACACCGACCCGTGATAGAGCTCACACTGCTCCAGAAATATACAGAACCAGTCAAATGTTTGGAGACACCTGACTGAAATGCTGTTATAATCTTAAAGACATTTTGACCTAAAGGCTCTTATAGAAATAGAAATATGAAGTTGATGCCGACGTATGTATGCATTTCTTTCCGTGTATGGATGTATATACTGTTTATGTACAGTATGTGTGTGTATTTGTGCATGTGTATGTGGGTGTGTGTATGCATGTATAGGCATTGGTGTATCTGTGAGGCCTTTTCAAGGACAGGCATTGGTAATTTGCATTAGCTATAAATGCTGTGGTTCAGTTCTCCATGTGTACTGCATCTGTCCCCGCCAAATAAAAACAAGAAATATATATTTATGTAGAGAGTTTATAGTAACCTGTAACAAAGTCAAACACACCTGCATCCCTCTCGATGAGGGGTTCCCCGTCCTCGCTCTCATCCACAGGGCTGGAGTTGATGGAGTAGCCATTCGGCGGGGCCATGGCACTTCCACACGTTAAAAACTAAGTTGGTGAAATGACGTCACAGAGCCATGGTCTCTGTGGGAAACCTGCGAGTGAGACAGAGTGAAGTGATCAGATGAAACACAAACAGAAACACAACAAGGAGGAAGTGAGATAAACACGACAGAAAAAAAAGGTACAAAGAGAAGTGAGACAACAACTGACATATGATGTCATCGAAACCCTGTCAGCCTACCGTCCGATCTGTATGATAATGATATAATATAATCAGCCAGTATGCTACGAATTAACATGCTCATAAGCAACTAATGGTGAATACTGTGACCTTCATTTAAAGTGTCAACAAAGTTTTAAAAAGTCAGCGTCTGAATAGTCAGGACGGACGCTGAAGGCAAGACAACAAACTTTAAAAAACAATCTATTTGAAACTTTTGGTTGAACAAAGCAATAATTCTGAATCCATAAAATGACTTTATAAGTTACAAATGAAGACTTTTTTCCCCCCCCGCAATTAACCCGCACTGTTACTTGCACTGGATGTCTGTTTCCAGTCATGTATATTGTGTCTGTCCTGAATAAATAAACCATAAATAAGTAATTTAACGAGCACAAAGATGACTCGTTCATGGAGATGATCTTCAGCAGCAGCTCTGATTGAACGCACAGAACTCGTCTTCGTGTCCGCACTGATCTACAAATTCTCGTGGTTTATCATATAAAGAGAAAGGACTCAGAGTTCATTATTCTATGGTTGTGTTTGCTCTTCGTTTTAGGTTTTCTCTTTGGCTATTATTATTTTTTCATACACTGCTAATCCGACATCCACATGTGACAAACTGCACATAAAGCCGATTTATTCATTGAAGTGAAAAGTTTTGAGGTTTGGATTTAAAAAAAAAAATGGAGTTACAGTTTCACTTCTCATCCATCGTGTGGCTGTTTGTTTCTGATCTGCAGAGACTCAAGATGCTGCAGGCCGGAGGATGTTTTTATTTCTCTACTAAAGGCCGGAGGGAACGATTCTTGTTTACAGTTTTGATTCTGATGAGTTTTTGGTGGTTAGAGGTGAGTCACACTTTG